GGGGTCCATCCCTCAGGAAGCAGCCGAGGATTCAGGCCACCCTGAAGACTTTGAAGACTTTGCTCTTTTTTCCACCCTCGATCTGCCTCTCTGTGTCTGATCCGTCTTTATCCCCTCTCCTCTGCCTCCTTGTCTATCTCTGTTTCTCTCATCCTATTCTTCAGGCTCTCTTTTATCCCGGATCACTCCTTCAGCCCTTTGATTAGCATACCAAAACCCCCCCATGCATTTCCCCCCACTGTTTAAGTGCTATTAATGCTAATTGGAGGCAGGGAACTTCACTAAGTAGCTTCATTCAGGTCTGTTTGTTCACCTGGTGGGGGGGCTGTGTGTGTGTGTGTGTGTGTGTGTGTGTGTGTGTGTGTGTGTGTGTGTGTGTGTGTGTGTGTGTGTGTGTGTGTGTGTGTGTGTGTGTGTGTGTGTGTGTGTGTGTGTGTGTGTGTGTGTGTGTGTGTGTGTGTGTGTGTGTGTGTGTGTGTGTGTGTGTGTGTGTGAGCTTGATGAAGGCAATTCAAGCATCTCCCTTTAAAGGTTATTCTGGTATTTTTTAACCTGGGTCCATTTTTGCATTCTTTGCGACATTTCAGACTGTTTGTACTCGTCAATGAAATGGATTCACTCCTCTCTTAGTCACTTCTATTCACTTTGTTTACTGATAATAAAACGGGTCATAGTGTTAGGATGCATCTGAGGCCACGAGGGCATCTCTTAATCCAAGTGTTTAAAATTCCTGTGGAATGACAAATTAAGATCTGTTAGCTGTGTTTGACTTTTGTCACTACAGTAGGAGCTTATCTCTGTGAAAACAAACCTCGGGTAGTCAGTAGGAGTTTCTGTTTTTCAGAGCTAAAGACATCAGTCTTTAAGGTGCACTCACGTGAGGCAAAGTGCTCAGCATGCTGACCTGCACTCACACTGCAACAGGACTAACCGGGCCTGAGCACGGTTATCTTGTCCTAATACAACACATGCATGGCTTAACATGATCATGAAGCGTGCTGAGTCTACAAGACAGCCAGACTAAAAAAAAAAATATGGACGCACGGTTGAGCCCTTATCCGCACATTGGCCATTAACACAGACAACCAGATAGAGCTACTTTGAAAAAAATATATATATATTTTTGAGCTTTTTGTGCCTTTAATGAACAGATAGGACAGTGGATATATTCAGAAATCAGGGAGAGAGAGAGAGAGAGGGGAATGACATGCAGGAAAGGAGCTGCCCGCTGAGAGGAGTACAGCCTCCACACATGGGGTGCCCGCACCATCCACAGCGCCCCCAGAAAGAGCTACTTTACTGACTTTGTGGCTTATATTAAGTCACTGTGGTCAGACACCGCCATAATAAGACTTTGGGATTTCTCGATAATGGAAGGCGGGGATCGTGTATACTTAACGTCCATGTTGGGCACCCGTTCTTGTGCTCGTGCATGAGCACGTTGCGCAACTGTGTGGCTCTGTATGGCTCTTCCAACCGTGCCAGAGCCAAGGATCGGAGCACTCGCATTAGTCAGACAAACTGGACTTTGGGGGTTGGACATGATTGGGCGCGGTATGGTACAGATTGTCTTGTGTGAGGCATCCCTCACTTTGTACATTACATTATGTTACATGCAGCTTTAAACGAAGAGAGAACTCACAGGTGGCAGCTGGGACCTCTCATCGGAACACCAGTCTTTGCCTAATCCTTTTTAAATGGATCTTTAATAAAACCTCTAACACACACACAGAGCCTTCATTCCATGTTGTTTAGCTGAAAGCGTACGGTGCTTTCACACTTGTTCAAAACTTCAGACAAATTCCTGAATATGTTTTGAGTGAGTTGCATGTGTGAACGCAAACGGCCACATTTTTCACTTATGTGAGAACAAAGCAGGAAATATTCAGGACAGTTCACCACAAGCGAGCTGGAGAGGGCTGCTGGCATTTATATAGACGTATCACTTCCCCATGCCACGTAATGAAACTGCTTCATCATGTTTTCTGTCTGGCAGTACGTTTGCTCTTTGTTTGATTTTGTGTACGAGTGTTTTCATATGAGTCTGTTGCTTCTTCGTTAACTTTCATGTGGTTCGTCATGTCTTGCCTCATTTGGAGCACGAGTGTGCCCAGTAGGGATCGGCTGGAGGAGCTCCCGGCCCCTTCCTCTAACCACAACACACATTTAACTTACTGATAAATGCCAAAGATCCCTGTAGGTAGTCAGTCAACAGATTCTTTGAAGCAGACCCTTTCAGTTATAAAAAGATCATGGACTTTTATGTTATTGTTCATTATGTTTCCACTTTCCTCTCCTCCTCTACTCTGATCATCAAGTGCAACCAGCAGCCTCATTCGTCCACAGAGCTGTCAGTCATCGTGTAAAACCAGTTTTTTTGTAGCATCATACAACTAATTCAAACTAAGAGAAAAATGAACACATCAAATCAGCACAATAACAATTAGCTTCCCATGTTGGAAAAAATGGGAAATGTATTTGACTTATATTTTAATTTTGTAGTTTTGCCATCTGTTAACATGGAGGAGGCGGAGCTTACGACCTTTACTGCAGAGAGTCTGTAGGGGGAGCTCCAACAGTTTTGGCTTCAGTAATGGGGAGCAGTCATGACGTGCGAGTCTGTGGTTTAGTGTCGTGCAGTTTAAGTTCAAACAAGTTGCAGGTTAAAGGGAACATTTGGGTCCTCATCCTGAATCATTCTTTTTAAATTAATCTAAAATAAAACCTGAAACACGCAGAGTCTTCACTCTCTTTTTATATCTGAAATATACAGATTCTAGAAACATCTAAAGGCACTCACAGAAATGACTCCTAATGCAGACATTCACACATCATATCATCAGCAGGAGAAGACACATTCATACAAAGCAAGCTGCGCTAAACGTTTATTAAATGTATTCTGCTTTTGCACAAAGTCTAATTAAACTATCAGCGCTGCGTGTGTGTGTGTGTGTGTGTGTGTGTGTGTGTGTGATGAATGGAAGTCCAGATGAGTGTGTTTATTTAATCATTAGGATCCTCACAGAGGATGCCGTCTCTCTCGATGTTCTGCTACAGTTAGCACGCGCTGCACTGAAGGAGCAAATTGGATTGGTGTTACAGTACGTACGGCGGCGCCACGTCCTGATGAGCAGCCACAAACAAATTGGATTGTGTGGAGTGTAAATCTGAAGCGTTTGAAGGGACAAATTGAATTCTCAACAATGTAAATCTGTATCAGCTCCACTCCAGCTCGCTTAAATCATACGATTGTTCCTGCTGTTCTCAGATACCATCTCTCTCGCTCGCTCGCTCTCTCTCTCTCTCTCGCTCTCTCTCTCTCTCTTTCTTTCTCTCTCTCTCTCTCTCTCTTTCTCTCTCTCTCTCTCTCTCTCACTCTCTCTCTCTCTCTCTTTCTCTCTCTCTCTCTCTCTCTCTCGCTCTCTCTTTCTTTCTCTCTCTCTCTCTCTCTCTCTCTCTCTTCTCTCTCTCTCTCTCTTTCTTTCTCTCTCTCTCTCTCTCTCTCTCTCTCTCTCTCTCTCTCTCTCTCTCTCTCTTTCTTTCTCTCTCTCTCTCTCTCTCTCTTTCTTTCTCTCTCTCTCTCTCTCTCTCTCTCTCTCTCTCTCTCTCTCTCTCTCTCTCTCTGAGACGTTATAGCTGCAGCTCCTAATCTGTTTTTGATGACCGTGTGAGGATGTATTGGTACATATGGGCGGCTGAATCTCTCTCATTCTTCCAGTTGTATAAACACACACACACACACACGCAGCCTGTACAGTTGGCAGAGAGAGAGAGACACGCTGTGATTGAGCCATCGGTGTGTGTTGATTCAGGAGATTACTAAGACCATCGTTCAGACTTATGGACCTCCTGTTTTTTGAGGAACACACTCTGATCTCTGATGTCTCATGTTTATTACTCTTCTGTTGATTCAGACGAGTCATATTTATCGCTCCTCTTATTGCCTTTCCTCTGTTCTTCTGCTCTTTGTGCGGGAAGAGTTCATTATTACTCAGATAGCAATTAAAACATGTTTAAAGAACCCTAAAATGTTCCTTATCAGAGTCATATTCTTGCATACAGCGGCTGTGCAATGGGCTGCTTGTCTTGATTTTGCAATACTACGACCTTCCTCCTCTGCTTCTTCTTGCTTTCCTAAGAATCTGATTTCCTGTGCATGTACATAAAGCAAACTTTATGATCTAGATCTGACCCTACTTACAACTCGGTGAACGTGCATTTTGCACCCAGAGTATTTAAGGTGCTGCTACAGCACCCGTCCAAAGTTTAACACTTGTATAACTCGTTTGTTTTATTCATTATTTCTACAACTTTCACTAGAATGCCCCCGGACAGAGCAGAAAGCGTCAAAGGCTGGAAACAGCTACTTTAATCTCAGATCTTTATGCAGAAAAGGAAAAGGAAATGTTGATTGCATGGTCAATAAAGTTTTATAGATTTCAAAGTCTGACCATAGACATAGAAGCAAAGAATGAATTGTAAGAACAAGGGGATATAGGTATTTGGTGAAAATATCGTCTTCATCTGCAGCGTATGAATGGGATAAGTTAATACTGATGGTCTCAGCAGCCTCTACCATCAGTGTGTGAATGTGTAGCTTTGAGTTGTCAGACTAGAAAAAAAAATACAAGCCCAAGTCCATTTACCTTTAACCTACTCAGGAACAATGGGTAGAAACAGTAGAGGAAATCTACATCATGAAAGACTGACACAACGTTTGAGACTCCAAAGCTCAGACGGAGGACGAGTGGGAGAAAATTGGCCGTTCAGCATGGCCAGCTGTTGTCACCACCCTACTTACTGGCTCTACTGTTGTAGCTAAGAATTTGTGCTCTGTAAATCCGACACACAGGTGAAAGTTTTCACTTGAATTTGTTCCAGAGATGCTTTTAATTGACTCCCTCTTAAATTTCATTTGTATCCTCAAAACGCCGAACCCTGCCTCTCTGTTGTTCACCTGATATATGAACTGTTTGTGTTCTGTTTGTGTGTCACTCCAGTTACCCGTACAGTGAAGACAGCAGTCAGGGGAAGCAGTACATGAACACCAGATGCCCCGCCTGGTGTGACCGAATCCTCCTGTCGTCCTCCGCCAGAGACCTGGTCCTAAAGGTGAGTTGAAACTCCTCCCTCCACTAAGAACGTCTCTGTCCCTATATGTCTACAACTCCATCGTCCTTGATCCACATCCCCCCCTCCCGCCCTCCGTCGCCTCACAGATGGAGGGATGAGGTGTCTATGAATATTAATTTGGGCGAGCTAAAGCACGGGTCCATCCAGTCAGTATATATATCCCCGCACTTCACCCCAGCAGGCCTCCATCATCTTCATTAAGCCACAGAGCTGTCGTCAAACCCTGCAGGCCTCAAATCCATTGCAGCACAGTCTGCCGTCCCCATCCTCTCCGCCTGCAGTGTTTGCTGGATTACTGAGATCCACCGTGCAGCTCTGCCAAGTTCTCCCATATTCTCTGTAACCATATTCTCATTAAAGGGAGATTCTTGTATTTTCATATTTAGACCTTAGGATGATTTTTTTTGCATGTTTTGGGGGACAGGCTGACCATTTTTCTTTGGGGCAATTCTGCCAAATCAAAAGTTGATTCACTCAACAGATGATATGAAGGTGATCTGGTCATCTGAGAGGACTTGAAGCCCACGTCACTGATTGTTTTTTTAATTGTTTTTGGACCTGTAAGTCATTCAGACTCCATGTGTGATGGTGAAATTAGGGCCAGCTTTTTTTATCGAGAGAGTTTTATCGATGTGGAAAAAAGGAACATTTTCTTTGCATTTCAGATTCTTTAGCTCTGAGAGTAAGCCCTGCTGTCTTGGTCTGTGTGTGTTCAATGCATGAAGGCTTTCATCTGTTAATGTGTGTGTGAAGTAGAAGCAGCGGTGTATTGTACAGTAACTGTTCACCACAGGGGGGCTGCTCAGGAAGTTTGGCTTTCCTTTGTCGGCCACAAATGAGAAATCCCTTCCTGATCTTTCTTCTTCTTCCTCTGACTGAAGCCTGGAAGGAACAATCAAAAAAACAAAAAACAAGGACTGTAAAACATTTCAAAAATGATAACAGCCAGTTTGTTTCTGCCACTTAATGTGTCAGAATGATAGAAATACTGATTCACACACACAGCTGCTCTCTGTTTGCTCTCCTCCCCCCACTTCATGCTCCGGCTAATTGCTTGTAATGTGGGGACGGAGTGAACAGTTAGTGTGTTCGCAGATTGGCTGATGATTCACTGAGCACACACTCTGCGGCTCTCAGCGTTACAGATTGTTGAGACATAGGCCCGTAAACAGCCCGGTGTGTGGCGTCATCTATCATGGCACGGTCGGTTAACTCGCCATCATGTTATTTTCTGCTTGCCGAGCCCTAACACGCCAAAGGTTGCCCGCTGGCTGCGCGGCGCGGCACCAGCTCCGGGAGCGGCGGTAATGAATGTTTAGCCGAGCGAGCACTCCCTCTCTGCCGCCGGGCCCCGGGTAATTTGTTTATCTGTCTAAAGATTATGCAGCCCGAAAAAATCCACAATTTTCTGCTGCCTTTGTGAATTATCAAGTGTGTGTTTGATGAATGTATCTGCGGCTCGGGGAGACGAATGGAGAGAGGTGGCGGTGCGAGGCCGCCGCAGGAGGCGGAGTGAGGTGCAGGTGTGCTGACCCCGCTCAGCTGCGGGATTGGTCTGAAGTTAATTTGGATTTCACTTTATGGTTCATTCTGGAGCTCTCTGTCTCTTTCTTCTGAAGCGCCGGAGCAGCACACCGAGTCACAACCCTGTGTGTGTGTGTGTGTGTTGTGTGTGTGTGTGTGTGTGTGTGTGTGTGTGTGTGTGTGTGTGTGTGTGTGTGTGTGTGTGTGTGTGTGTGTGTGTGTGTGTGTGTGTGTGTGTGTGTGTGTGTGTGTGTGTGTGTGTGTGTGTGTAAAAAGTCTTTAGTTCAACCAGACAAGTGTGATTTATTCTCCAGTCTGCAGATCCCCGTGTGAGAGGGTAACAGCTTCTTTGTGTGCAGATATTGAAACATGATTTCCTCTGATAGGCTCTCAGATTACACTCAGAGAATCTGTGATGGAACAAAAAACGTGCACTTTGTGAATCCCTCCTGCTCTTCATTCCTCCTCACTGCACTGTGCTCAACTTTGAAAGTAGAATCTGTGCCCACTTCCTCCTGAAGGACTCGCTCGGTGCATCTCTGCGAGGGTCAGCAGTAAACCTACAAGAGGTGGGGTCTTTGTTAATCATTTAGATTCCTGAGAATCACAAAACACACCCTGGTGTGACCGGTCCCTGGTGAATCATCATGATGATGAAACATTCAAATACTCATACTACAAAGCAGCTGCTCTGCTAACCATGGAGACACACAGAGTAACAGAGCAGGACACAGTTTTGGTAACAATCAAGTTACAGATTCGTTGTGGAACCAGGTGAGTTGGTGAAGCTAAAAATGAATAAAGGCTAAATGGACTTGAGCTCTTCTAGTCTTCAGAATACTCAAAGCACTTTTACACTGCAGGTCACACCTACACATTCACTCACTGGTAGAGGCTGCTATGTGAAGTGAAGTGTGCTAGTATTAGCCAATCACATTCATACGCTGAAGACGGATCAGCAGGAGCAACTTGGTGTCTCACTGAAGGACACATTGGACATGAGCCGGGGATCAAACTCCCTAATCTTCTGATTCCGACTCTACCAATCTGAGCCACAGCCGCCCCTTGAGCGTGTTTAAATGGACTTGAGTATCTTGGTTATGAGCCTCATCCCAGTTGTGATCATATTTGGGACATGCCATTTACATGCAGACAGACATCTCATCATATCCCTGTATAGGCCTACATGATAAATACTAGTATCCTGGTTTTGTTACCCAAAGACTTGAATCCTGTTTCCTCTTGGAGTTCTTCGTGTAGCAAAATCACGCTTCTCAAAATCAGGATGAGGGATTATCCTTATTTCTGAAATAAGGTTGTGATGTTTACATACACGAACACAAAAACAGGATGCTGAAAAAGCCCGATCAAAACCAGGGTCATATGACAACGTAATCATTTGTTGAATCGTTTTTTTATTTTTAACTATTTGTGGTTCCTATTACTGCTACTACCTTGTGCCAATACGTCCAACTCACAGCAGTGCTGATGTCCAGTGACTCACTCCCTCTCCTGTTCTATTTATTATGAAACATAAAGCATGTAACTTATTCTGTTTTCATGACCTGAACATGTGAATTTGTGTCTCTGCAGCCTGAAAATGAAGAGAAGTCCATAGTGTATGATAACATCGGGCCCAATGTCTGCATGGGGGACCACAAGGTAACTACTGTGTGTGTGTGTGTGTGTGTGTGTGTGTGTGTGTGTGTGTGTGTGTGTGTGTGTTCACGATGTGTCAGATTCTGCATAAGAAACAACCTTGAGGCTTAAAATCATCACCACAAATCAAGTGTTTGAATCAAACTGGAACCTTTAAGAACCGGTGATGAAAAGATCTTGATGTGTCTTATCACACAGTAGAAACAAATTCAACCACATCTGATCAGTCTGTAGCTTCCTGCGTGCACATGAAGTACACACCAGAGTACACACTAACTCCTTCACTGCAGAGTATCATGATTTAATTTAACCATATTATACTCAGCCCTATTCCACACTTTGTCACACACATGCAACGATAAGAACACATTGAGGTAATAACCCACCGAATTCATCTCCAAACAAAACTACAAGACTTAACTTCTATGTAACAGGAACGTCTCCAAACAGCTGTAACCTACGTTTGTGTGGATCAACATACACGATCATCCTTAATGCTTCTCTCTTCCAGCTGTAAACAAACATCACTTGTTGTCAATTAAAACTATTTTAACATACAGAAAAAACATGTCCATTTTACACTAAAAATGTGCTATATAAATAGAGTTGACTTGACTAAAACAAGTGAAAGCATGATGTCAAAGTGTTAAATTATGATATTAAAGTGTTAAATTATGATGTTAAAGGGTTAAAGCATGATGTTAAAGGCTTAAAGTAAGATGTTGAAGTGTTATTAAATGAGCAGCGGAGGTGCTAGAAGATAGATTTGTTTTCTTTGCAGTCAGCCATGCTAGCTGTTTCCACATGTTTCTAGTCTTTGTGCTAAGCTAAGCTAATCACCTCTTCTATTATCAGGCTAACCTTAAAACATGAAGCATTATCACACTTTATATCCTCACGTAAAGCAAAATGAATCACTACAGAAAGAATGGTCTGTCATAGAAATGTAGTATCTACAGTGGAGTTTGACTTAAAGGTTGAAGGAAACAGCCAACAGGAAGGATCGTCTTTTCTTTTTTTTTAAAGCTGACTGTATAGAAAGTTGTTTAACACTGTGGCTTCAGTCTCCTCCGTGTCAGACAAGAAGGTCTTACCCTGAAAGAGAGGCGCCTGGAGTCAGGTCTTTCATCAATACTCAGAGTGTCACAGACAGTAGTGTGTGTGTGTGATGTGACCCGAGCACACTGAAGGATACTGCAGCACGGCTCACCTCCCCGCCGCACACTGCCGCTAAAATCACACACAGCTATGTTAAAGAAATGTCCGATGTAGTTAGCACGCGGGTACAGAAATGCACGGCACCGCTGTGTGAGTTTAACCTGCGACTCCTCCTCAGAGAGAGAGAGAGAGAGAGAGGGAGGGAGCATCAATAACCTGTCTTCTCTGACTGTCTCTGCCCCCCCCCCCCGACCCCCCCCCTCCAGCCCGTCTTCCTGTCCTTCCGAATAACAGCGGGGGCAGGTAAACCTAATGCAAATAAGCACAAGTGTTGTGTGGTGCAGTGATGTCGTGGTAAATATTAACTTTTCTTTCTTAATATTTCTCACACTTGTTGCTATTGTTTGCTTTGACTTGCTTGATTGTGTCACTACGAGTTGGTTCTGGAGACAGATGAGCCTGTTTGAGATTTGATGTGGTTAAAATGCTTCTGACATTTTAAGACATTCAGGCAGAATTTCTGTGTCTTTTTAACATGGGGGCTCTAGTTTGACATATTTTCGGGGGCTAAATGAAGAATTGGTGCAAAAAGTTTTTGAATTGCTCCGCTTGGATTACAGCCATGACGACGGCTGCAATATCTGCAAATTAATCCAAAGTATGTCCAGTAAAAGTTGTTGTTTTTGTCTCTGACAGGAGCAGATTGTTTATCTAAGTGTCTGACAGCATCACAGGAAGGATCCCTGCAGAGAGAGCTTTTTGTTAAACAGCCATTTACATAATTCTTCTTCTTTAACCAGAATCAACATAGTTGTGACAGTGTTTTTTTTTTTTCAAACCCCAGACTCCATTGAGAAAAACAAGTCACTTGACCTTGAAGAACGCACGAGTCTCTGCTCTACTTCTGATTTGACTTGTTGGTCTTGGTGTTAGAAGCTTTCAACCCGTTTAAAACACCCATAATTATGGGATAATAAGAGTCCCATAATTACATAAAAAAGTCTGGGGGAATAAATTGACTGATTTTGGTCAATGGAGTCTGGTGGTTTTGAAAAGCACGCTGTTACAACTGTTTTTATGTTATTTATTTTCATTTTTAATGTTCATTTTTGGGCTCCTATGCCTTTTTTTAGAGACAGGACGGTGGATAGAGACAGAAATAATGGAGCGAGAGAGAGAGAGAGAGAAAATGGGAATTGACATGCGGGAAAGGACGGGGAGCGCTGATAGTCTAGCGGTTGGGTCGCATGCCCCATGTGCAGAGGCTATAGTCCTTGTTGCAGCAGCCGTGGGTTCGAGTCCAGCCTTGGCCCTTTGCTGCATATCGCCCCCCCCACTCTCTCTCCTCTTGGCATTTCCTGTCTCTATTCTGCTGTCTTATCCAATAGCGGCAAAAAGACCCAAAAATAACTTTGCAGGACTACATGGGGCGTGACATAACCACTAGGCCAATTGCACCCCAGTTTCTATATTTCTGTTTTTAAAAAGCGTCTTTCTCTCTAACAAAAAAGCTCTATCTCTGCAGGGATCCTTTCTGTAATCATGTCAGACTCTTAGACTAACAATCGGAGTCCTTCAGGGACAAAAAGAAATCTTTTAGAGGCAGTTTAGAAACTTTTTGCTCTTTTTCCAATTCAGACCCTAAAATGTGTGAAATTAGGGCCCGTGTTCAAAAGGACAGAAATTCCCTTTTCACTCACAAACTAGAGCAGCATCTTGTTTTCTAACCTTTTTCTTTTATTTTTAAAGTCGGCACCAGGTCATTTTTTGGTTTGATTGAAATGTCGGCTTCTTGCTGAGGAATGAAACGTTTCTTTTTTCCTCTCCTCAGGGAAGTGTTGCCAAAGGGGGGAGCAGATATTCCGTGAAGCGCCTCTGTGAGAAGAAACAAACAGGACACCAACACACACATGCAAACACACACGCACAAATACACACACACACACAAACACACACACTTTACACAAGCGTACACTGAAGACAAAGTTTTTCAGCAGTGCTGACCAGTCACAGTTGTCCTGACACCTCATCCATACGAAGCCGTTTTCTCTCCATAAAACACTTGTTGAGACGTGGACGAGCACCCGAGGGCCCGGCTCCAGACAAGACACACATCGCTGACCTCACTGTTGCCATGCAACCCCCCCACCCCCCACCCCCCCATTCCCCAGAGAAGGAAAAACAGGACGGACGGACGGACGACTCTCTTCCATGCCACAGCCTCATTGCCAAAACTCTAATTGAAATCAGTCGACTACATGTTTAGACACCGCACTCATCCATAGGTTTGCCTCTGTGTATAGAAGCTACTCTCTCCACACAGTGTGTAAGGTGTTTTAAAAAAAAAAAAAAAAGAAAAGTGCAATGCAAAAAAAGTTGTCTTATCTATATCGTTAGGGTTATTTGTACATTGGACAGTATAACATAGAGTTGTTGATGGTTTTAGTGGCGTTCTCTTTCTGACCAAACTTTGAGGTCCTTTTTGTTGGAAGATAGATTTCAACAACTTCTCTCTATATATAAATATATTTTTGTTTTTGTTGTTGTGTGCACAACACACTGCCATGCCTGACACATCCGTTGAGTCTCATTTTATATACTGTACTTTTTAAAGAGATAATTTATAATTCTTACCAAATGTTTGTGCAGACTGTGTGGGTGTTCCTGCAGCACCGAGGAGAGACACTCTGTGTGATTTATTGCCTATCCAAGAATGTTTTAAGCAGTGCCATAGACCATGCAAGTATATAAGATAATGTCTCATATATAGCACTCTCACGTTATGTCATTATTACTCTAACTTATTTCTATAATATTATGGTTCTGAATGTGATATTTTAGATAGGCTTGGGTATCCTTAAAATGTAATTTTGTCCGTTTTTGTTACTGCATTTTGGTGCCAAGTATCCACACAGACATGACGTGTGTCAGAGTTCAATGTTTAAGTCAGACGGTTTAAGGTGTTGATTATGAAATGTTTAAAAAAAAAAAAACTAGAGAGAAACTCTAAACGCGGGAAAGAGCAGCAGGAGGAGGGAGGAGGAGGAGTTGCTTTTTATTCGTCTGCTCATCGCGGATCATTTGAGCATTAAAGGGGAGCTCGGAGACGCCAGCGTTTCCTTTTATCGATTTCATTTCCTACACTACAGATTTCAGACTGTGTCAAACCGTCACATTGATCCTCCCTGATTTATTTTATTTTATTTGCTCTTACGTTTCCATCTGAATCACTGAAATGATTGAGTGCCTGCTGCAGGCTTTCTGTTCTGCTGCTGTGATTTTGGTTCAAAGTTTAAAAATCGAGATAAATCCCGCCTGCTTCTGTTTGGGTTCCTGCTGCTCTGTGTGAGTTTACTGTAGGAGTTTTTTAAGCTGCAGTTTGTGTTTTTTCTTCTTCACTCCATCTTATTAAAGCAGATAGAGATTTGATTCTTTAGCCCCTCTGACGGCATGGCCTCTATACTGTAGGAGGTGATGCAGTTCTCAAGCAATAAAAAACCATTAGAGCTCAACCGGCTGTTTGTCCTCATTATTACAGCTCACATGACCTCTTCAAACCTCACACACCACATCCTCAGTGTCTTCTTCCTCATTGGACACGAACTGTGTTTCTACACGGAGATGATGCACCGACGGCTCCAAGAGAGATGGGCCTCCAGCCGAGCCAGGGACCAAAACACATTTGTAGAGTTTCGATTTTATATTAATTGAAGTTACTCCCAATTTGCTGATATGTCCTCAGAATTAGTCAAACATCGCAATGAAAACCAGCAAAGTAGCTTACTTCTTTTTTTTCTTGCTTTAAAAAATGTAAAATCTTTCCAGATTTCTGGAATGAAGGAAATACAAGATAAAACTGCAACAGGGTGAAACACCTTAAATACATCTATAAATAAATCTATTTTACTATGCATATAGGTTATGCGCCAATAAGATGCACAATGGAAAAAGAACTGTCAACATTTTAAGAGCCGTATGTCGCCTTTTTTTGATCGTAAGTTTCCAAAGATTCAACTTTTTACAGATTTTTTTAAACAAACTTCCAGTAGATTTTGTTAAAATCATAAATATAAAAATAACATTTGATCTAAATTATAAACTAAAATCAAAAAGCGTTTAAGTGGGGAAAAGGGAACTATAATTTGCTCTTTATATTGTCCACTGTTTCTGCGAGAGCGACGTAAATGTGAGAAAATATAAGTAGGCCATACTTGGTTTCCTTCAGTCGGATCCGCTTTAAGCAGCAGCAGGTGTTTAATTCACACTAATTCAATCAAATAAAACATACAAAGTTTAATTTGATTTGATGGCTTATTATTTCTGATTGGCTGAATCCAGAAGTGACGGTACGTGAAGCTCCAATAGCGTTCAAATCTGCATGGAGGAAACAAATGGGTGCAGTGCCATTTAAGGACAGAGGGGGCGAGCTTCTGTCAAACAGCTCCACAGCACTGGGTTATATAGATTTATACTAAACAAAGGAACTCTTGAGGCTAAATAGTAAAACATTATTAACAGCTGAGAAATAAATCTTAATTTAAAAATTACTACGGAAACATAAAATGGTCAAAAAGAGTTTGTTACGCTTAGAGATTGAGATTTAAGATGAAAAACAAAGTGATGAGAGAGCAGCCGAAGATGGCCTCTAAGAGTTCTAATAAACCATGAAACGGTCTTCTATTGTTATAATAGTCTTATTAATAATAATGTGATTTGTCAGCTGGTGTAAAAGAGCCAAACGCTCAAATATTTCAGTGTTACTCATAGAAACTGCCTTCATGACTTTTGGTTAGAAAAGTACAAAAAAAACATTTCCTAATCTTTCACAAACTGGGATTAAATGTATTTTATGGGGCTGTCATGAGGTGGATTTTTTTTTTTGTCAAAACAGTTGTAATGTTGATGTTCATTCGCTGCCTTGCTTTAAATGATAATTATGATAAATTCCACATAAACTGTTAAAATTCTGAAGATACAAATAAACCTGCATGAACAACAAAGTCAAACTTTTCTTTTCTTTATGTAGAATGAAGTTAAACAAAATACTGAATGTGTCTTAAACTATAACGACATTTTAATGACGCCATCATCATTATTATAATTATTTTAAGAGTTTCTTTTCAACCTTTCCGCAAAATAACGAAATTCAGTTAAGATATTCATGAATTTATCTTTAATTTATATTAAGCCCACACATTCAAACAAAAGTCACGATAAAAGAAGAAATGCTTGTTAAATAATTTATTCATTATACAAAGTGTTTTCTCTTCCTTGAACCTTCATCCTTCTCTCTTTAACTCCAACAGTTTGCTGCTCCGCTGTGTGCTGATGATGAGGGACAAATTAAAAAACTAAAAAACAGAAACTGTCTCAAGTTAAGTGAAAGAAAAGTGTGTGTGTGATGTGGGGTTAAAAAGCAGATCTTGTTGTTTTTACAGTGATTATTTACAGCATTCTGAGTCTGTACATTTCTGTTCCGGAGCAGAAGAAAAGAGGCGGCATTATTCTGCAGGAATGAAAAGGAAGCAGCGGGTCTATCTGAGGGGCAATAAGCGCGTCCGAACATAACTTATTCAGTAAAAAATATATACAATCTTCACACGAACATTTTTCATCTTCAGGCTGCAGCACAAATCATCCATTCAGCTCAAATATGCGCCCGCAGAACATTCAACTCTCTCGCCTTTTAGGACAGTGGATACCCTGGTTAAACTGAGCTTTAGAAGCATCACAGGCCCCGATTACACCTGCCATTTTTAACATGCGTCCCGCACCCGGATCAGTGTCGGCTGCTCATAATTACGACTGACAGTCACCTTTAAAAACGGCTTAAAATGACCGTGAGCCGTTTAGGAATCGACATTTTAAAATAAAGTCGATTTTTTAAATGAAAGTGGTGCATACTTTGTTTCATAAAAAAAAACAACTTAAGAGGCAGTTTTGTCATTTTCCTTCAAATAAAATATCGCCGATTCATAAAAACATTCATTGGTCTAATTCAGAGCTAAATAAGCGGCCTGCCAGACTTTGAAATGAGGAAGGAGCTGCCATTTTTTTAAGATTAATGTGTTACGCATAATGTAACAGGTGCCATGCCTCCATGAGTGAGAAATAAAAGCACCTTTATGTGTGAAATAAATGAAATAAGTCACACTGAAAGGCCCGACACTGATCCGGATTGTGTGTGAATAATAGTTTGTTACATTTACACCTGTTGTTAAAACTCCAGTTTTATGCGTAAAAACGTCGCCAAAACGGCTCCTCATCCCCAATATTTATTGTCCGTTCAGCTGACGTGAACTTATTAGTCTTGTTGAAGTCCAGTTTTGACAGAAGTTACATCTCCGAGTACACAGAGTCTGTAAAAGTTTGGATTTGGATGCGTCACGGTCAGCGCGTTCTCCGTGCGTCATGGCACACACTCCGCATTTCTGGCTCCGTGTGAGTTTAACGCATCCCATCAGGCGCATGTTCATAATGTCAGGTGGAAAAGGGGGTCAGAAAGAGTGCGACAGGTCTCTCTTTGTAGGACCCCCCAGACTTTGGCCCCATCAGGTGTGGGCATCACAAAGTGTCCGAGCTGTTACTGCAGGGGCTGATCAGCGCCAGGTTGGTGGCCTTGTGCTTTTTCAACAGTCTCGTGATTTTCTCGTCGTCTGAGTTTGGGTCCAGCGGTTTGTTGTACTCGTCGTCGTCCTCGTTCTCCGAGCTCTCCTTCATCTTCTCGGTCTCAGAGTCGTGCTTTTTCTTGGCCGTGGCCATCTCTGCCGCGTGTCTCTTCCGCCATTTGGTTCTTCTGTTCTGAAACCAAACCTGAGGAGTAGAGAGGGAGGCACACAGATGCTCAACAGGTCCAATATACTGTGGATCATTTCCATATCTTCAAAGCAGGTTTAAATTATCCAGGGCACAAAACATGGGAAACAGGGGAATTCATATCAGAAATATAAATAATAATGAAAAAAATGCTACAAAGATTGTTTTTAGTTGGATACAATGAAAGCTTTTGCTCTGAAATAATTTACTTCTGTAAATTCAAATGATGCGTAAAAGTGAAAAAAAAAATACGCAACAAAAAAACAAGAATCCCCATAATTCCCTTGGATTTTTACACAGGTATCTGACTTCATGTTTTACCTTGACTTGACTCTCGGTCATCCCTAAAGAATAAGCCAGGCGCGCTCTCTCCGGGCCGGCCAGGTATTTCGTCTGCTCGAAAGTTTTCTCCAGTGCAAAAATCTGCTGTCCTGAAAAAGTGGGTCTGGAGTGTTTCTTCTTCCCGTCCTTGTCCATCATCATGCTCGCCTGAGCTGCAAAACAGAAACACGCAGGATGGTTATGCACTGAATTTAATTAAAGATAGTATTAATAAAGTGATGCTCCTGTAGGTTAACACATATTTTATGAGCCAAATTACACTCCAACTGGCCAAAGTGTGTCTGAGCTATATGACGAGTTCACTGACAAACTACTCACCATGGTACCATGACAGTTTTATATTAATATTTTAATGTAACAAGTTTGAAAGTCCTGCCAAGTACACATAAAAACGTCATTATCTATTAAGAACTTAGTGTTTAAGCAGCCTGAATTTACGGCGACCACGCAGTGCGTAATTATATTTTATCACTTGATATCAGCTGTAATATCGACATTTTCTGTGTAAAATAAAATGAAGTGAAGTGTTTTTGTTTGTGTGTGATTATATGTGCAGTGACAGGCCTTTCACAGGCCTACATTATGAGTAACAACACACGATAACAACACTAATACTCCGAGCAGAGAAACTGCTTTTTCAAATGTTATATCCATGAACTAGAAGTGAACACACTTTATGATCCTTCAAGTGTACAAAGGTAAAATAAAAAACAAACAAATAAAGAGGACTTACTGGGACAGGGAATCCGCGGGTCCCTCCAGGGAGAACCCTGCATCACCCCGGGCCAGAAGATAGGCGCCCTCCCCGGCAGCTCGGCCAGGGGCTTCGGGTACCGCGACACCGCCGGGCTGAAGTACATTCCCGCAGCGGCTGCGGCGGCTGCGGTGGTTGCCAGGCCATTTATCCTTGGGAACCCGGAGAGCAGCTGCCCGGCCGTGGTGATGGGTCTTCCCAGGATGTCGCTTATTCCGTGCGGGGTGCCCATGGAGAGCTGGGAGTTAAGGTGGGAGAGCTGGGAGTTAAGGTTGGAGAGATGGGGCGTCTTGAAACCCGCCGGGCCCTGCTGCAGCGAGTACGGGAACAGGGACGTCTTCATCTCGGTCATGTTGTGTAACGCCGCCAGCGGGGTGCTGCCCAGGACGAACGCACTCTGCCGGTTAGCCTCCATCTGCCCGACCGCTAACATTTGTGAGCATGAACCACCGGGCACGCTCGGTTAAAAGAAACGGGAAATAAAAGACTCGAGTAAATAAAGTTGAAGAGTCAGGATCCAGGCCACCTCTGCTTCTCCTGAAGTATCCTGGAGGAGGAGGACGAAGAAGAAGAAGAGTGTGGGAATGTTGGAAAACTTCTCTCCTCTCTGGGGAAGCGAACAGCTCGAAAAGTCCCAAAAACGTCTCCGCGTGTTCGTCGTGGTCTCGTTCTGTCACAACGTGCCCGCCACAGGAAGCCGCTGATGATGTTTTTAGTGGTTTTGATGGGAACCATTAAGGGCTCGGCTTGTCTTTCCATAAATTGACTCGCTGCTCTTTAGCTGCGGGGGAAGCCGGGACCCGCTGATAATAGCGCAGCCACCTGCACGAGCACTATTCCCATTGGACGGAGGAACTGAGTGAGACAGCGCCCTGATTGGAGGAGACAGAAGGTCCGCTGCTTCTCTTGTGCGTGCTCGTTGGACGGGTGCTGCCTTTACGTACAGTCAGAAAAATTCCCTTCCTCTTATTGGAACTGACAGGTAGCCTTTCAAAGCGGATAAACAGCCGCACAACAAATGAATGTAGAACATGAATCTCTTACCTTTATAGCCAATATCTTTGTTTTGGAATAAAATCATTTAATCTGTACTTGAATCGTCTGAGCTCCACCAGAAGAAAATGTTTCAATCTTTTTTTTTAATCTTTATTTCAAAGCCGTGTTTTAAGCCTTCAATATTCGTGGAATCGGAGGAGACCATGAACGCATCAGCAGCAGCCACACTCTATTAAGATCTTTAGCGGTGCTGTTAATGATGCGTCTCACAGCGCGGAAATCATTGTTTCCACATATGACAAAGAATATACATTTACATTATGAGCTGTCCCGCAGACTGTGCGGGTTTATTAAAGAAGAAGCGGGACTCTGCGAGGGGAGGACGGACTCCTAAAGTGAATTTCACGGACTCAGAAAATTAAATTGTGAAGAAAAGTGGACGGAAAAATAATAAATAAACAGGATAGATTTGTTTTAGTCATTTAAAAATAGTTTAGTTTGATGTTTGAGAAGTGCAGCGTGGTCAGTCATGTCAGAGTGATTCATTTGATTTAATTTGCATTCATGCTATTTTCTGTTGTGACTGATCCCAGAGCCCACTTTGGAAGACAAGGTCTAAAAAACGGAGTTATTCCTCCGCTTGTTGCTGTAATCCACATTCATAAAAGATTACATCTTCACTCCGCTTCAAACATGATCTCATGCTTTTACATGTTTTTTTTTTTGCCTGAAAGAAGAAGCAGCCAGAGGCCTTTCAGATAAAAACCTGCAGTATAAAGTCTTGAAAGGACGCAGCTGTGTGTGTTATATGAGAGAGATAATCAGTGTTTTTGGAGACAAACTGCGTGATTAGAGTGGAAGTGTGAGAGAAAAGACGCGTGCAGTCATCACAGTGAGTGCTGTAATATTTTATGGAGATGTGAGGAGGTTGTAAGAGTGAAATATGGCCCCGTTAGCATCTGAAAGGCTTCACTATAAATGCACCTTCGCTGCCACGTTTGCTCACCGGGGAGAGATTGTGGATTTTAAAAGGTTTTTCAACGCGAGGTGATTCACAATTTTGACTGTAAGATGCAGAACACACACAGGGTTTCTAATTCTGTAAATGGCCCTCTCTTTTTCTAATTTATATCCGTATATTTCCCCTTCACTGCTTTTATGGCCTTGTTTGAAAGTCTATCACTGTAAGAGGAAAAACAAACAGCGTCCCGTGATGTTTCTCTCGGTTATTGAAATAAAGCAGCTGCTGTCTGACCCGCAGTCTCATCAATGACAGAAAGATTGGCACTTTTTCCAGCAGCTCATCTGCAGCCACAGAGCACAGCTGCCAAAGCGAAACCTTAATGACTCTTTAACACCGTGAATTATTTCATTTATTATCTCGTAAATTTACAAGTAATTTAAAGTTTAAACTCTTAAACTCCGATTTATTACGGACATGGACACGAGGGACTTAAATAAAGTAGAAACAATGATTGATAATTATTGGAAAAGTTATTACATCATGTAAAATTACATTTATTTCAATGATTAAATACGAAGGCTCTAAAAATAATAAAACAATTGAAATGAGGGTCATTGGAATAAAACTTATAATAACCCTCAAGCATCAGTTTAATTTACTACCCTCTTCCACTTCCAAAAAACTGCTATAAAAATAGTACAGATTCACATTTTATTTCTGCATAAATCTCTGAAAACTACAAAACATTCAATCATTTTGAGGATTTTAACCCTTTAAATGCCAATTTAATTACATAATGCTAATATTTGTTATGAAAATATCCTCAAAATGATTGAATGTTTGGTAGTATTGAGCAGGGCGGAAGTTGTTTAGGAGATTTATGCAAAAAAAAAACAGAAACAAATATGAATCTGTAATATTTTAATAGCAGTTTTTTTTGGAAGTGGATATTTTTGTCCTTGATGACTTAAGAGGGTAGTAAATTTTTCACAGTGTTCTATTGATATTAGAACATTTAAAATCTGCTTTCCAAAATTTGTGAAGAGAGACTTTCTTCCAAAAGAAATGTGTCACATGCACTAATACAGCCAAAATGATGGCCAGATTAAGAGGAAACATTTGCCTAAATGGACAAAAATGTCCACAATGATGCATGAGGGTGAAAACTCATTGGAAATGTTGATTTTTATTATTAGATATTAACTTGTTGCTCGCGGTGCATTTGATCAGATTTCTGCGTTAATTCCGCTCTGATTTAAATAATGTGCTGTTGGCCTGCTGATGGCGCGCTGCTGCTGCTGAGGCCTTTTGTCCCTCCAGTCACTAGAAACAGGTCAATAAACAGCACACAGATAATCTTATCTGAGAGAAACCTCCGACACAAATCGGAATTGACAGAACAGAGAGAGAGGGAGAGAGCAGATAAGCAGATGTTGGGACAAAAAGACGCTTGTTGAAGTCGGTGAACGTGCTCTGAGGCAGTGAGGCGTTCAGGTGCAGAGACACCACCCAGTGCCTCTGCGTTCTTTACACATAATAATAAGAAATAGTAATAATAAAAAAATGCAAAGAAATTTAATCCGTGAAACAGAAACATGTATTTTAAAAATGGCACTTTTATATGGCTGAAGCAATCAGAAAATCTAAAATGCATCAATTTTTTCTCCTCAGTAAAGTTTAATTTCTGACATATTAGAAAGTCAAAGGAATTCAGAAAATAAAAACTAATAAAAACGTATATTTCTTTTATTGGATCATAAATAGGTCTGCGTGTACTCGAGTCTAAATTAAAGTCCAGATAATTTGTGCAGGAGCGCCCTCTAGTGGCACACACTGAAACTCTGATCCACCAGCCTTTAAGTCAAACGTCCAACAACTCCTCCAACTCAGATACTAAATAACAATTACACATGAATGATGATATCATGTCATTGAATACTTTAGGCGTTTAATTAAAATGTGAAATACTGTGTAGATCACATACAGCCTATACTTTAGAGACAAATCAACAATTAGATGGGAATGCTTCAGGGAAATGTTTTAAAATATGGAATTACAGATTCATTGATTGATGCATTGTGGGAAAGGTGAGAGGTTTGGTTAGAAAAAAAGCCCTGGTTATCACTTATCATTAAAATCATTTTAATCTGTCAGTGTGTTTTGTCAGGATATTTCACATATAGCATGCAACATATTCTTAAAACTGGATTATTAGTTTTTTTCCTCAATTGCATTCAAGAAACCTATTTTAAAACACTGGAAAAAATAACCTCCTTCATTCAAACATTGGGAAAAAGAACTGTTTGGTTATTAGACTATATGGAAAAGACAAAAGGCCTGTAGCCATCCAGGGAACATAGTAACTCAGTTTGACTGCAAAAGCTTGAGTCGTGAGCGGTGGAAAGCCAGGAGGCCACACGTCTGACTATCTGAGGGGCCTAGAGGAGGTCAGTAATGTACAGGGGGGGCCAAGCCGTTCAGGGCCAAATAGTGCCACCTTATAATGGTCTCTGATGGTGAGAGAGGAAGTCAGGTGAAGGGAGCAAGATTGGAGCAGTACATGATGTATGTGTTTGATTATTCTAATCTATGATTAATGTGCTTTCAAGTGAAGGAGATATGACATTCTGAGGTTGAGCTCGTTGTTTGTGTGTGAGGTTTTCTTTGCTTTGTTGTTGTTTTTCTTTACAAATAAATAAATAATTATTCTAATGTTTGACCAATAAAACTGTGTCTTACAGGGGAGGAGCTTGGGAAGCTGAACTTGGCCAAGATGAGGCCTTCCTAAAATGACTCAATCCAGATCACCACAGCTCCTGATTGGTCTACGTGCTACACACTCTGTCCACACGGGGGCGCCACAAATGCACACAACCTGAAATATTCTCACAGGTGTTTTGATATTTAATGTTTCATGTTTGATTTTAATGCTATTGAGGGAACAAAAATCAAATACTGCTTTTCCCCGACCCTTTGTTTCTACTGTATGTTTCACTGCAGACGTTCAACAGTTCCAGAGGAAATATGAAAAATGTCAACATTCATTTAGACCAACAGTGACAGCCATAGTTAATATCAATCTCCATTATACAACTTTTCAAGGTGTCAGGGGGCTGTATCTGATCCAAGCTGTCATTGGTCAAGAGGCGGGTTTACATCCTAGGCTGGACGCCAGTCAACCACAGAGCTGACATATAGAGACAGACAACCAGACACACTCACATTCACACCTACAAGTTTGGACTGTAGGAGGAAGCCGAAGTATCTGAAGAGAATTCACACATGCCAGGGGAAAACATGTAAACGCCACACAGAGAGGCTCCTGTCAGACAGGGATTCAAACCAGGAACCTCCTCACTGTGAGGGGCAACTGCTCTAACTCCTGATTATGATGATTATTTCCAGTTTTTACAAAATAAAATGTCAAACAGCACGTTCATCTGAATAGTTGAGTAGCCGATGCTGGACATAAAATATGTTCACAGGCAAAAGGAAGACAAAGTGGGCAACGGTCTAGAGGTTGGTGTGCTTGCCCCATGTACGGACGCCGTGGTCCTCAGCGGCCCAGGGTTGGATCCGACCTGTGGCTCCATTCCTGCATGTTGTTCCCCACTCTCTCTCACTCCCTCTCCCAGATTTCTGACTCTATCCGCTGATGTCCTGTCTCTGAATGGAGGCATGAAGTAAAAAAAACCCAAAAAACCCTGATGTCACCTGCAGGTCATGTGATCCAAAGTAAGGAACACCATACACACTATCCAAACAATCATAGTAAAGGACCACAAGACCTACTCATAGAAGACTTACAATAAATCAGAGCGTCAATCTCAGCGGACTCCCCTCCTTACAGAAAAGTCAAACATGTCTGCGCTCTGACCGACATGTTTGAGTTTCTGTC